GCAATGTTACCTTAAAAATGGTTAGTTTTAAAGCAAAAACGAAAAACAAAAAGATGTCCAAAAAAAAAAAGGTTAACTTTTTAAAGGAAGTATTGGAAGACAGCAGAATAACAGAAGTGTCAACCATTAACCCCCTGCTGTATTCAGCAACCGTTCGATACCCACCAAATTTCAGACCGTTACAAATGAACTGGCAAAACAACGCAGAATAATTAGTTACACAACACCCCCTGCCAAAAAAAAAAAATAGAAAAAAGGAAAAAAACCGTGACAGTGGAAGCACACAGTGGGCACTGGTGTTCTTTACTGCCCGGCCGGCAGTGAAATCTGAACCAAATTGATGCCAATTCTTAACAGCGGAATAATGAACTCGCCAGTCGACTCAGCAGCGTCAGCTACTCGATGCATCACTGAGATAAGGTGTCAGTGGAGTCATGAATATTGTTCGCGATCAGTTACCTGATAATTAGGAATTCTTTATGCTGGTTTTAATGCTGTAGCCTTCCTTTGTGGTATGCAGGCAGTCTGTGATCCGGTACTGCCTGCAAATGTGTTTCATTTGGACTGCTGTTGATCGTAAGTAACCGAATTTGGCATATATTATCAATTTGGATCTCATTTATTACCTTCATCTTAAATAACCAATGCACACTGTATTTAACTGTAAACTTTTTCGTGAACGTGCGTATCCCGAAGCCTCATTGTAAAACTACGTAAACCAATTATACTAGAAATCAAATAATGCCGTTTTACACCATCTACCATTTCTGGACCTTCGTATTCGCTTTGCTCAGGGAGATCAGTGAAAATTAGAACGGAGAGTTGGTGTTGTTTTACACAACTTCAAAACCTCTCGTGACACATATTGATCAGATAGATATAAAATATACTTAGCTTTTAAATTTCTGAAACTTGTAAGTAATTCAGAAATAGACAGTTTGAATATCAGCCAAATTAAAGTTTTCTCGCAGTACTTTATCGTTTAGCTTCATTTACTACTTCCCAGCGTAGCTTAATGGGATCCACTGAAGTGTGGTGAACTAATCGCCCAGTATTTAACAAAAATTCTGAGACGAGTGGGTGAGTGATATATCTGTTTGATTAAAAGAGGAAATTTTCCAAAAAAAAAGACAATTAGCGGTCGACGAGTCATTTACTAGGTTCTCCTAGGAAATCTATCAGATTAGGATGGCGCTAGACTGTAATACTGATATTTAAATATAACTTGTTCTTTGTTTTCTTACTTCAATTCATCAGCTTTTCTGAATCAGAGTTTCAGTATTTCAACTATCACTTATTATTCCCCAGAACTGTTTTACCCAGGCGTTATCTTTGTTGCAAACGTGTGGAGCCCACTGATGCCTACAGCTAACCTGTTTCGAATAGGTTGTTTAATGGTTTTCTTACAAAGTGATAATTTGAACAAACAGTACAGTTGCTGGTTTCCATACCAACCGGCAACAGTTGCGTTGTTAATACATTTTCCTTGCTTGTGTGCTCTGAAAGATATCACGTTTAGTTAACATTTTTAGTGCCTGACATTTTTGATCTAGTACAGATAAGAATGGTACCAATCCTGACCTGTTAGCAAAAAGGTGAGATGCTTTGGCTCATTACGGATAACGTTCAATTTAATTTCGGACGAAATGTTCAGCAGTGACGGTTTTGGGAGTGGAAGAAGCCTAAAGCAACTGATACGTAAGGCAACCGACAACATGCAGTCATTATCGTTGAGTGTCTCAGTGGCGTACTCTTCAGAAAGTTCCAAGTGTTAACAAACAAATTTTGTGTTTTGGCTTCGGAGGCAAATTTAGCAAACAGTCTGAATTTTCCTAAAGTGACTTTTAGCATCGGCTTATGAGTTCTGTTCCGTAAATCACTTTGAAAACTGTTTCTTTTAGAAAGTACTAGCTAAAAGCAACCAGCGGTAGACCAAAAATGTATAGTTTTTTGTTTAATAGCCACTGTTAATTCACTAACGTAAATAGAAGATGAAATATCTGAATAATTTCTGTTCTTAGCAATAGATTTTTAAAAGACATCAAATCTACAAAACAGTAATAAAACTGTTTCCACTGTGCAGGTGAAAGATGTAAAGTTGACCTATTCAGCTAATCATCAATGAATATATTTTTTGTTTTTCAGCACAAATACGGATTCAATCTTGTTTTTCTGAACTGTACTGAATAACTTTTGGTACCGCTGGACCGAGCAGGGTAATTGACAAGCGCCTTATAGGCATTTGATTGTGGTTTGTTTATGTGAAGTGAGAAATTCAAGGAGGCTCTGGGTTTTAGGTACTGGTTGTAAATTCAGGGTGAAACTGCATTGAACTGTATTGTCCTTTGTTTTCTTAACGAAAGTTTTAGTGTACGGAAGTAACTGTACCCGTTTTTTTTTTTTTTTTTTTTTTTTTTTTTTTCAATTA